AAACATATTATTCTGTCATTGCATAATACACAGGGCCAAAGGCTGACTCAGCCTTAACTTGTCTGGACCTATGTAATGAATGAAAAAGAAAATGTAATATTTTGTATGTAAATCTGGATTCAAATATTGCTCTTGTATAGCTTAAAACTGATTTTTAGTTCTCTAAACTGATATCCTTCCTTACAGATCTATTCACCATGTTTTGACAGCTAATTTAATTACTTTATAAATGTCATTGTTGATTTTAGGAAAAGGCTGGAAGCATTAGTGGAAAATAAAAACTCTGAACATAGCAGAAGCAATATGTTTAAGATGTAATTGCTTTTTAGATATGAAATGGCTCTTCACTAAGATTTTGTTGTACCTCAAGTAGTTACGTTGAAGTTGACAACAAGAAAACAGAAAGTTCCAGGGAGAGGAAAGAGATAGTAATGATCCTTTCGTATTAATGCCAGTCGGCACATAATGAAAACACCATGCAGATCCCCTATTTACACTAAGCAACACCCACAGCTGTTAGTGGACCAATAAAGTGCAGAAGAGAGCGAGCTGTGGGATAGAATATAGTCACAGCTGGAATCAGCCCAAGTAGCAGATTCAGCAATTAAAGAGAGAGGACACTCTTCCTGAACTGCTCAACATATAGAAGGGTTATCCAAGAGGTACATAACCAGAGTTACACTGAGTTACAGTTCTTCTATTTATTAGGACTAGTTCAAATGAGGCACCAAAACCAGAAAAAAAACCCTACTCCCCAATCTGTTCCCACCCTCTATGAAGCGGGAGCTAATTTGTATGGAAATTCTCCACAGACCAGGACCTAGCGGCTGCTGAAATCAAGTCATATCATCAAGAGCATTCGTTGTTTATCATTTTGCTTGGTGCTTCCTTTGCAGAAAATAAACACAGTAAAACAGTTCCGATGGTGTGTAAATGTTCAAGGGGAAAAAAAAGAATATATTGTCCAGTATTAACTGTAAATTTTAAACCAAAATCTGATGCAAGAGTATGTTATTCTGGGTACTCATTAATTAAATTTCAAGATATTTGCTTTCATTATAAGTTTATCTTCCTAGCTTATACTTTGCTATCCTTAAAAACAAGGCCAAAACAATGCAGAACAAGGAAAAGGAACACAATGAAAAATAATTATCTGATTTTCTTTTGCACATTGAGCCAGTGAGTATTCTATAACACATATTTCAATTGCTCCCAGTCTTGCTGGTTTTGAATAGAGGCTACTTGCGAAGCAGAAGGAAAGTGTTGAGTTTTGGGAAGCTAGTCATAGCCAATAAAAATGCTGTACACAACACATGCATGTTGATTTTGCAGCTCAGAAGAAAAAACACATTGCTTTTTTTAGGTATCTAAATATCTGACATCAGAAGCTTGAAAATAACAAAAATTGCCATTAGTACACACAATTCCCTTCACTCATAAAATTACTCACTTTCAAAAATTGAAAAAGAAAGTGCGCAACACACCAATAACAATTCTCTTCTCTCGAAGTATTGTTTTTTAGTGAAAGATAATAGTTTAAAGTAAAATTACTAGTAAACCAAGTTGGGTAGAAAACCAATAAAATTAGACGAAATTCAAAATGAGGTCTCTTTTGACACACAGATTTTGTGCTGCAATGGATGACACTAATAAAGGTATATGTAACAGCATGTCATAAGTATGTTCTCACAGTACTTTTGCTGTACAGATCATAGAAGTAGAACTCAGATGCAGTTATGCTGAAATTAGGACTTTCGGTTATAGCTGACATTACCCACTGGATGTCTTAGGTTTAATGGAGACAGTTGTACATGTACACCATCTTCCCCTTAAACAGAGGTACTTGACAAATTCTGTGACAAAAATAATCCTTTCTTTCTGTGGATAAGATTTTAGGAAGTAATGTTCTACAAGAGCTGGGAATAAAAGCTCTCAGCCCTGCAGGGAAGTACTTGGGGATACTGGCGGATGAAAAATTGGACATGAGCCAGCAATATGCACTTGCAGTCCAGAAAGGCAATTGTATCCTGCATCAAAAGGAGCATGGCCAGCAGATTGAGGGAAGCGATTGTCCCCCTCTACTCTGCTCTCATGAGATCCCACCTGGAGTATTGCATCCAGCTCTGGAGTCCCCAGCACAAAACAGACATGGACCTGTTAGAACAGGTCCAGAGAAGGGTCACGAAAATGGTCAGAGGGCTGGAACACCTCTCCTATGAGGAAAGGCTGAGAAAGTTGGGGTTGTTCAGCCTGGAGAAGAGAAAGCTGCAGCTTTGCAATGTATAAAGGGGGCTTATGAGAAAGATGGAGAAAGATTTTTTTACCATGGCCTGTAATGACAGGACAAGGGGTAACAGTTTTAAACTGAAATAAGGTAGATTTAGATTGGATCTAAAGAAAAAGTTCTTTACAATGAAGGTGGTGAGACACTGGAACAGGTTTTCTAGAGAAGCTGTGGATGTGCCATCATAGGAAGTATTCAAAGTCAGGTTGGACAGGGCTTTGAAAAACCTAATCTAGTGAAAGATGTCCCTGCCTGTGGCAGAGGGGTTGGACTAGATGACCTTTGAAGGTCCCTTCCAACTGAAACCACTCTGTGATTTTATGAAAATCAGATTCACAGAGGTCCAAAGTCAAGTTGGGGAACACTAGCTTGATCCTCTGTATAGCATTGACCTTGCATTTTCCATGGCTTAATTGTTACAGCAATTTTTTAAGGAAAATGTTAACTTGGACTTAAAGATTGTTAATGACTGAGAATTTATCAGTTTTGTGAGTTGTCCCATGGTTACTCTTACTGCAAAAGAGGCCTTTTGTTTCTCGTTCAAATCCGTGAATTCAAGTTTTGGTCTTCTGCCTTATGTTTCTCTGCTGCAGTAAAAAATCCTGTTTCTAGACTGTGATTTTTCATTGATAAACATTGACAAGCAAATGGACTTGTTCAATGAACTTAAAAATGCATGTTTTCTATTTATGCTATTGGTTTCTTCTGAATGTTCCCCAGTTTATCTGCATCACTCTTACCTGTGAACAGCAGAAATCTTTCAAGTAAGATTAGCAGCAATGCTAGATAAGTACTAACACAACTTCTCTATTCAAGTACCTTCTGTTTATATATGCAACAATTCTCACACTAGAATTTGCACTGGGAACTTTTGTTTAGTTAATTATGTTTGCACCCCTAATTTTTCTTAAAGTTACAACTTCCATAATGGACATTCTATAAATACAGCAGTTGTAATTTCCATTCCTATGATTTTCAGTGGATCATATTAGACTACAATAAAACTCTAGAAATAGAATTTCAAGCAATGCCAAATCAGATGTCTTACAGAAGTTTACTACATCAATATTAATACCTAATCAACCCAATTTATAATTTCACTAAAAGAAAGTTTGGTAGGGTAGTTTCAGATAGCCTCATTGTTATAAGCCACTTTGCCACTGTTTTATCATATTTCAATATCTTCATAATAAAAAAATCATTTTATATCTTCCATTATTCTGTTTTAGATCAATGTCAAGTTTTCTCAGAGTTTTTTGAAGCTTTCTTTTTGTTCCAGGACATGCTTAAAATTGGCATTAACACCTAGAGACTAATTCCAGAGGGTTTCATTTTGGCGTCGTGGTTTAACCTGGCAGTCAGCCAAATATCACGCAGCCGCTCACTCACTCTCCCCGTCCCACTGGACATTTGGATAGTCATATAACTGCAGGAGTTTGTGACCAGAATACATAACCACATAGTATTTACAAATTCTCTACTCTCAAAAGAATGAATGCTAAAAAGTTAAAAGGAAAGAAAACAGCAAAAGCAGTATTTTTTGTATGGAAATCTTGAGAAGCACATCCTTTGTTGTTTTGCTTTTTAAATATGACTGACTTAAGTGGCACTTTACTGCACAAAACTGGACATAGCTCATCTATAATAAAAAAGCAAGATGTAAATATCATTTCCCCTAACTGAACTCATAGGTTTCGACTATTTAAATTCTCTAATTTGAGTCTAATTTGAGTCTAAATTCTCAAAGTCTTTTTAGATTAAAAAGTTTTGGTTTATTAAACAAAAAATATATGTAAAACTAGATTTCTAAACTCTACAGTATATACACTTACATAATTATATATAAACAGATTATTAAATAGCAAGCAACATAACTTTTTATCCAGCAAACTAATTCTTATACAACTTGGAAAATTCCAATAAATGTCCACAAAATCCTGTAATCTGAAACCATTAGTAGAAGACCTTTATCATCATTTTGCTGATAGTATTTGTTCATGCTGCTTAGTCCTTAAAATCTTATTTAATACACTGCTATATTACAAGACTGCTTAGCACAGAAGTTTCAGTCATGTTGGTACTTGAGTTTGCGAAAAATTCAAGGTAAAAGCTTATAATATGCTTGAAAAAAGCAACAGAATTGCCACAGTTTCTGTATATAAAGTTGTTGAAATTTATCTAAACTGAAAATCCTGAGGAGGACAATTTCTTTGAAGAATGGAAGGTAAATGCAAACAACTATGTATGTGTTTGCACTTTAAATGTTGTAAAGAACTAAGTGTTATTTGGTCTTAAGAATACAACAGATCACGTTCATTCTCTAAATTAATCCTTCCCCTCTTATAAAATCAAATCTCTTTTTAAGATGATGATTTATGTTCCACAATGTACAATGTCTTCATCCTGAGGGCTTCTATGCCTGCGTATACTTTATTACGCGAATATTTACTTTCAGCAGGTCTATATGTAAATTAGTGGCCGTTGCTGTGAACTTGAAAATAAATATGTTGATTTAAAAGGTGAAATAGCATCTTACAAAGGCTCTGCTGCTCTTTGTTTTGTCTGTAGTTACTGGGAGCAACTACAGTAACAAATAAAAAAGTTCCTGATGATTTTGAAGTGCTTCTGGCCATCTGTGGTTTCTAGTGTTTTCTATTCAGGTGGATAAAAATAGAGTCATTCTGATATTCGCTAATGATTTAGAGATTTTTGATCTTCAGAGCTGAAGACTGAGTAATACTTTCGTAGTGTAGGAAGGAGTAGAATCTGTGAAAAGAGAAAGAAGAAATACATCTCAGACTTCAGCTATGTAATCCAGCACAAATAAATGGAGCCCTTACCTAGAAACAGGTAGGTTTGGGTTTATTTCAAAGGTGCTTGATAAGTGATCTTTGTGCTATCATTCAGAAATTCTGCCAGCTCGTATTATACAGAAGCTATTCCTTCTCCAGTTTCCTTTTCAAAAACAGGTATTGGCATAATCTATAGCACAAGAGTTCAGAAGCAGGAAATACAAGAGAGTTTCATGATTCAACCTCATCATAAAAAACATGGAGACAAGATTTGTCTAGGAAGGCAGAAGAGTGTATCCCTGAGCTGCTTTGTCCCAAAGGCATATAAAGCTGGCCTATGCCTGACAGGGCCAAATACAAGTTTCAGGAAGCCTGGCAGCCATTATCTTAGACTCCGCATTTCACAAGTATGTAAATACAACTCCATTATTACATATTTCATGAGTTTCTCTAAAGCCAAATTATGATCTCAGTTTTTCCTCCATTCCTTCTCTTTGTTTTAACCACTGTTGCTACCATTATCAGAATCTGGCACTTTTATAGCAGATTCCACTTTGGAAGTAGACGGCTTGAATACTCAAGTGTGCAGCTTATGGACATTAAGGAACAAAAGTCCAGTATCAGAACATGAAAAGTATTCTGCAGCCACATCCTGTGGCCTTTTTTTACATTTCTCTTTTATCAGGTCTTGTAGGACTACTATATAGACCACTTACATGAAATGCAAGGAATGAAAAGATACCATAAGATTCATTCCACAAAAATTCATCTTTACACACAAACTCTCAAAAATGTTTAAACAGAGCCTATAGGTCACTTTGGCTCACAGGAAATTTTCCCTTTGTTTCCTAACAAGTTTACTAAACAAGTCTCAAGAGATTGACAGTTACTTAATTGCGATAAATTTAAGGCAGAACAGCAAGCTAAGTAATATGTAAACTTTCAGGTGCTGTCCAAAAAAGACAAAAGCAGCAATTTTACTACAACAATTTTGCAGTGGTTAAACAATTAGTACATTGATACAGATACATTGTTAAAGAATGTCCTATCAGTGTAAAGAGCATTTCATATATGTACTGTGTTTCCTTTGAGGGGGAGAAGCACTTCTGCAGGAATTCAAAATCACTAATGCTAATCCCAAAAGAGGTAAGTAAATCTGGAGAATGAGGATTATCATTGCATGCATTGTAATTGAATTAAGGTTAATGCTGATGTACAAACACACCATTCATTTTGTATATCTTTGTTCAATATGAAGTCTTTTAGTTAGGGCCCAAACTTTTAACAAAGCACATTCGACTTTTTCACTTTTAATCTTATTTAATACCATAACAGACAATTACAGTTTAAGGGTATATTTCTTGTATTCTTAAAAATTGATGTTCCCAATGTATGCCTGCATTTATATCCAAGATAGCAGGAAGTTTACTGTAAATTAACACATACCCCTTTCCTTTAGGTCTTCAATGTATGCTTTCATAAACTCTTTCTCAAACTGCTCCCGTTCACGTTTGCTTTCTATAATTGCTTCAGTATCTTCAGATACAATAGTTTCAACTGGGCTGTCCTTGAGGCTTATGAATCTAGAGAGAGATTAACACAAGAATATACGCAACAGGCTTCTGAATATCACTGGCCAACATGAAAGATATTTTAGAAGTTGCTACTACACCCAGAAGGAGAAACGTAAAGAACATTTGTTCATTTTTTGCATTATGGCATTGTTAGAATCCATCTATTGTTAGAAAAAATACAGATTTCAAATGGCACCTTCTCTATATTCTACTTTCCATATAAAAATGATCAGATTTATCTCTTTCTTTTCACCTATCTACATAATCATTCCTTGCAATAACAGGTATATTTCTTTATTATGGAACTTCTGACAGACTGTATTGTAATTTCACATCTGTTAATGAGCAGTATGAACTCCATCCTAACAAGATTGCCTAGCAATCTGGAATTTTGCCAGTATCACTTAGCTGACAATATGTATCTTCATTTTTTGTTTGTTTTATGTTACTTCTCTTTTTCAATGCATGACTGGACGTGATTTGTGTCATATTTGCAAATTTCCTAAAGCTACACTTTGCAGGTGTAAAACTAGATGGTTACATAAACAACTTATATAATGTGCAAATTAAGTGCACAGCATTCTGAAAATCTCTGGTGATATTACCACTCCAAGAAGGAAAAAAATCAATAAAATTATTACTTTCAAAAGAACAAATGTTGCAACAAATCAACCTCAAGAATTGCTGTGAGTCTGTGGTCAGTTGAGCTTGGTTGGCCAGGAGTCCACCAAGCAGCTCTCTCACTCCCCCTCCTCAGCAGGACAGAGGGAGAATATAAGATGAAAAACTCGTAGGTTGAGATAAAGACAGCTTAATGAAGAAAAGCAAAAGCCATGTGTGGAAGCAAAGCAAAGCAAAAAAAAATTATTCTCTGCTTCTCATCAAGAGGAGATGTCCAGTCACTTCCTGGGAAGCAGGGACTCAGTATGTGTAGCAGTTGCTTTGGAAGACAGATACCTTCATAACAAATGACCCTTCTCTTTTCTCTTAGCTTTTATTGCTGAGCATGATGTCATTGGTATGGAATACCTCTTTGGTCAGTTTGAGTCAGCTGTCCCAGCTATGTCCCCTCCCAACCTCTTGCTCATCCTCAGCCCACTGGCCTTTGGGGGGGAGGGTTGGAGAGACAGCCTTGATGCTGTGGTAGCACTGCTCAACAGTAGTCAAAAACCTTGGTGTGTTATCAGCACCATTCTAGCTACAAATACAATGCCCAGCATTGCGGGGCTTAAGGAATGCTATGGGGAAAGTTAACTCCATCCCAGCCAGACCCAGTATAGAGTCTCAAATAGTTGCATAATCAAAGACCTGAACATGGCCTGCGGAAATGCAGGATCATTATAATTGTAGTCTGAAAGGTCTTTTAGTCTTATCCTGCATGCAGCAACAATAGGCTCTTTCACAACAAAGAATATATGAACTGCTAAACTCATGTGACATTATTTAGCCTTTTAACTAGCCATGTCTCCCACTCCCAGCAACATACTTTTGACAGTACTGAGCTTATCAACTGCCAGACTACTGGTCCCACTCTGGGGCATGGCTTTGCGACTCCAGAGTTAGAGCTACTATGACCAAGCCTATACAGGAATAGCAGTTTAGGCATACAGATGCACAATGCGGGGAACTAGCAGTTAAAAATCAGAAAGCTGCGGCTCCTCTGCAATTTCCAATCTCTCTAGTGCCTCCTTAAGGGCTCTGATATAAATTGGGCCAGAATTTGACTACCAGGTATGGTAGAAACTGATGCTTGTGAAAGTATTTCTCCTGGGTGCATCTACCTTATCTTCTTAAGAACATATTCCTTTCTCTTTTACTTTCACTTACTTCAAACCTGTGGTTGACTCACAGACAGCTGTGGGTATCTCAACCAGGTCATCACCACTGACAACTAGCAAACTGAGCTTTGGCATATTGACCAGAGCTCGTGGAAGATAAGTCAACTTGTTTTTCTGTAGGAGAAGTGTCTGCAGTTGATCTAACCTGTAAAAACGTAAAAGATAAAGATAACTTAAAATATTTATTTCAGACAGGAGCATCTATCCAAAATAGCAATACAGACTTAATCTTGTGTAAAAGAAGAACAATTACATGCACCATCTTTGGTTTCTCAAAAATTATTCATACCACACTTTCACAAATTGTCATCAACTTAATGGAAATTTCCAGGCATGTTTCAACATTATAGATATTAATAGCACACCTTTGACAAGTACTTAGAAGCATGCCCAAGATAAGAAGTTACAAAAATTACTGTGCTTTCATACATAAGATGTTGACAGAATATGATATAAAGCCTTACCATGTGTATCCCGGAACTAATGAAAAATATGGGTCACCAGCTCACAGCTTTGCCCATGTACTGGTTTCTATGAACTAGATATATCCGTGCTAGGCAGTATATTCCCATCTATTGTTTTTCACTAGTAATTAGTACTGTGGGGAGCAAGAGAAAGACCAGCGCCTGGTCATACGGCTTTTGCAAGTTGTCCCACTGAAATCAATTTAATGACAATGTTTTGTGGAGGAAGGCATTGGGCTTCTTTTGCTTTATTTCCCCTGGCTTTTCCTAATGCAATAGCAATTTGTGGCTGAGCATTTATTCCTTGGAGTAGGTAGAAGACAAAAAGCATAGCAAACTGATGAAACAAGTTTGTCTCGTTTGACCAGAAGGGTCCATTCCTAAAACACTGTTGCAGGCTATTGCTTATCAGGCCCATAGGGTTTGTTTGAATTCAGGGAGAGAGATATTAAGTAAGGCTTCAGTTTACTGCCAGCTCATCTTTTTTAATCACAGACTTTATGGTAGTTCATTGAGGTTCTTCGACACTGCAGGCATTGAAATCATGAGTCTGAAAAGAGTATCCGTTTACTGGGGAGGGGAGGCATATCCTGACATTTTGTAGTCTTCAGAATGCACATGAGCCCGAGAGATCTCAAAATTCAAAACTCAAAGTCAAACAAAGAAAACCTTATTTTGTAGTGTCTGATTTTGATGCTTTAGTATTGAATCTGCCAACACAATACGAAATGGAGAAGATGAAATGTAGAAAAGGAATATTTCAGAGATAGAGAAATATATATAGGTTACAGGGAAAAAATGACCCTTAAGTTGAGCGTGTATCCTTTCATAAAATAAAAATATCCTCTTAGAAGCCCTTTGAAGTTAATCAAATCTCTGCTCAGATCCCCTGGGAAAAAATGAGATTTCTATGGTGTTGTGGCTAGAGCCTGTGAATTACTAATACAAATTAAGACTTCAGCCCTGCTGCCAGAGAAATCTGTGATTACACAATGTCCCAGAAAACTCTTTTTGCCCAGCAAAAAAGGTCTTGCGGAAGTTAAGGCTGAACAACTTTTCTGTGAAGTTTCTTCTGCCTCAGGGATCTCTATTCCCAGATCAATAAACAATCCGTATTTTTTTTTCATAAACTTTAGTTAATATGTGTTTTGGTTTACTTATGTCTATGTAAAGTTTTGTAAACTAAGTTACAACAGGACTCCAGAGTGAATAAATAGGCCCAGGGATAAGAAAAGTGCTTTCTCAGGCTAGTAAGTCCCATTAAAGAGATCAGCATGATTTTTTTAAAACTAGTTCTAGTGGATCTCTAAATTGAGAGAGTGAGTATATGTGTGCACATGCAGATATACTTCAGAGTAGGAGGGGAGGATTGTCAGTGGTTTTTTTAATCTTACCAATATTTTTCTGTTTTACTGCCAAAATTTATCAGGTTCTTTCAGTAACTTAAATATGCTTTGGTTCATCTTTCCCTCCACCCTGTCTACCCTCCAGAGAGATACTGCTGCCAACTCCATATGGTGAGTCCCCTTTGCTGGAACTGGGGCAGAGTATGAACTTCCCATGAACTTCCCAAATAATAATGCCTGGATATAATGACAAATTATCATGAATGCAGCAGAAAATGTAATTAGTTAACTGAACAGTAGAGGCACTGACTATGCAATCTGCCATCAATGAGCTAGAAAATGTGGTTTCTGTTCTCTGACCTAGTTCATCAATAGCAATGGTAAAGCTTACAAGCAAAACTATCTGATGCATTTCTAAATGTGATTTTTTCACGTGATTTTTCATTAATTGTGTCCCTTGGAAGCTTGTTACTTTCTAGATTTGCTTCATAGTTCACAAGCCTGTCAATGAATTAAAACATAAACTACCTGTCTATGTCTTCTGGGAGATCTTTCAGGTTGTTGCTGCTAATATCCAACCACAGCAAATTAGACATCCGGAGTACACAGATTGGAATAGAATGGATCTTGTTTGCTGACACGTCCACAACTGTGACTTGTTTCAGGTTACTTAGCTAGAAAGAAGCAGTGTTTTATTCTAGTTACATTTTTCAAATACAAGAAGACATTTCATTCATCAAACATTCTTATTCCTCTTAAAGTACTTAGAAAAATAAAATCACATGATTTTTTCACTCAACTTTTTGCCAGCCTTATTTCTTAGTCACCAGTTTATAGGAAAAAGGATTTCAGAAATAACTGCCTCCCAAAGTGTTCATCACCTTTCTAGCACCATCATGGTATTGAATGAAATCTTCATTCTAAAAAAACCTACCGTTTCAGATAACACCAAGGCTGGAACCTGACAATGACTTGGTTCCTTCCTAGGTTACCTATGAACTAAGCTCTGAAGTGACAAAACACAGTTTTGATAATTAATAGATGCCAGTTTACCATTCTCAAAATCAGGGATTTTATAACTCACATCAAAAATCCATAGATTTCCTTCGCTATAACTTTATTATACACTGACAGCGTATTGCTAGGAGACCCTTAGAAAATGAAACTGCCAATTTAAGACAACAGAAAATTTGGTCTAATATTTTTCAAATATCTTTAAAAATACATCTTCCATACTGCACATTAAATACATAATAAGTGCATTAGAGCTTTTTATTTGACTAATTTTCAAAGGAGTTACATTTTTAAGTAATAAACCTTTAGCGTCATGAAGGTTAACTACAAATGTAAAATATACTTGTTGAAGAAACAAATGTGTTAAATAAAGCTCTCGCTGCACTGAATCAATTATTCACACTACCAGTGTTCATAAAACCATGCAGCTAGCTAAAGTGAATGTCAAAGGAGTATAAATGTTAACCAGAAAAAATACTTTAGAATGGAAATTACTTCTCTGAGCTTCTAATCATATGTCACCATCACAATCTAGCTCTCTAAATCCTGATACAGAAGAGAAAGTAGCAAAAAAAGGTCACTGGTCTTTGCCTGAAGGTTTCTTACAATGTAGAAAATAATTAGGAACCAAAAACCCCAAACCAAATATATTTTCCACTTCCAAAATGAGCAAAATGCAAGCAACAGCATAAATTATGAAAAAAACTAGAAAGTAATAAGATACATTCTGAATTTTTGAGAAGGATTTTTTTTAATTATTGTTTAATAAGAATCAAGTTCTGGTTTGCTATATTTTATGGCCAAACTTCTTCTTATTGCAATACTGCCAGACTTTCATCTTAATTTGACCCTTGCCATTTGAAATGCTCACATTCATAGCTTGGTGCTCTGTCAGAGCCAGTTTGATTTGGGATTTTTTGGCGGTGGTTTTTTTTGTTTGTAGGGTGTGGGGTTTCTGTTTGGTTGGTTTTTTGTTTTGTTTTTTTCTAGATATAACCTTATATTGCTGCCAGAGCTTAAAATTTGGAAATCTTTTCAGGGAGATTTACTTAAATTATCGTATTACAAGTAACTACACAATTAAGTTTACCTTTCGAAAACATAATAAAGGTTCAGAGTTTCTCAAGTCAAAAACATAATTTCGAAATCTGCCCACCACTGCATTAAAACAGCCTTGGTGAGGCATTACCATGGAAATATCTCGCTCCTGATTCAGAACAGGCAAGCACACATTTTATTCTGACACTTCTCATTTCCAAACCATTTTGTCATTTTGAGAACTGACTACTAGCAATGAACACTCATTCCTATACTGTAAATTTTCCAGATACTGAATCGTTTTTCCAACAAAACAGAACCTCCCTTCGAAAAAGGAAAACTTCTAGATCATAGCAATGAGAGAACAGAGAAAACAATTGGCACCATCTTTACTCTGCATTTACTTTGTGGTTTCAAATTATTGTCACGATTCCAAATCCCAAGCAAATATTTCAAGTTTCTCTGCACTCAGAACAATTTGCTAAAACTGCTGATACATTTCTTTCAACAAACTCTCCCCAAAAGGAATTTAGCAGGCACAGAATTAAAACAATGTCCCACAGGTTTAAATGCCACCCAAAATGTTCTCAAACCATCCCCAATGAAGAAAAGCCAGAGTCTTTATACACCAAGCGGCAGATTATTTTAAAATAAACTGACATCACTGTTCACCCAAATTCCTAAACACTTTGCTTTCACATGTAGTCACCTGTCTTGCTGAAAAAACTTGGTGACATTAACACTGGGTGGTAAAATGATATTTTTTCAACAACAGTAGCTAGTTTTTATATGTTTTAAAGTGCTTTATGGTGTTAAATATTAAAAGTAACATTAATATAGCAGTTTTTTTTTTTAATAAACAGAGCTGTTTCTGCCATTTTTCATATTGTATTGAAAACAGATTGTTTTAATACTTGATTAGATGAAAACCTACATTTTTCAGGAGTTTGTACTCCCATAAAAATGTACCAGCAAAATGTAAGGCCATGGACTTTCTAGATATAAAGTTTGGTTCAGCATGCCACAGAATATATGGAGCCATGATTATATTGTGTAAGCTGCAAGCCCCCAGTACTTGTTCTTTTAGAGTAATATTTAACAAAACCTGTACATTTTCTATAGTGTGTTGAAACCTAATGGAGTTTTTATTTAATCTGTCTCTGATATGTTACCAACAAACACCTATGATATATGATGCATTGGAAATTATGACAGCTATGTATTATATTTCTAAAGAAAACCCTGTGTATTTTATTTCTTCTTGAAGTACTGATGGATTTTTGCACCTTTTATAACATTTCATTTTCAAACAAGCATGGCTCCCTTATCATTTTTACATTATAATTTATTTTTGCTTGATGTTGATTTTTGCTATTTTCCTCTATTATGTGACTTTGAATCAATCAGTGTATAGGCTTTATGCAAGTTCCGTTTTGAAAAAATGGCTATATTTGATAGTCTAGCTACCCGGACTCACTTATTGTGGTCCTTACGTTTAATCAATGTTGTCATTTTTCTTTGACAAACTGCCCCATTTTGCTTATCATAATAATTTTGTTCATAGAAATAATCCAGATAGCATTGTAGAACTCCACTGCTTCTCTTTACCTCTGACAGTTAAAAGAAAGAAAGAAGAAGACACACCATGTCCTGGGCTGAACAAGTGATTTGATTAATGAGTGTGTGTTTATTTCTGTTCTGCTTTTTGCCATGAAAGGGATTTACTGATGAGGTTGTACGCAAGTTTATCATGAGTTGCCTACTACTTAGCACCACAAATGAAAAAGTGTAAAGTCATGTCAAGCCTTACCACAAAAATGCTGTATATTTCAATTACATGTAAATATTCTCTGACATAAACAGCACCCCATCAAAGTCAATGTATGACAAGACATACAAAAGATTAACCTGGAAATGTCTATCAATGCATTACGAACATGCTTTTGCCCAGAAATTTCAGACTCAGTGAATATAAAGAAAATTTGTACCACTTCAGTAGGATCAGATTATCATATATGTTGTCTCCCAAAACACATAGATTGGCACTCAGCATCTTATTAGCTTGCTGAAAACAGTACGGTATATATGACAAAGGAGCACCCCAGGTGAAAACTGCACAGTTGCCCACTTACATCTCATGCATTTAAACCAAATCCCCAGCTTTTCTTTCACAGAGCTGTAAATGTAACCTCTCTATAATCTCATTGACATTCCTGGAGCAAAGCACCAATTAAAGAAAAAGGGTACAAGCATCTTTGGAGGCCGAAGATATCTTTCATAAAGATATACTTGTATATTTATAGCCCAGTCCACCAGACTTCCAAACTGGACTCTTAAATGCAAAGGCACTCAACAGTCAACCCCACCCCTTAGTAACAGGGTACTCGTTCACGTATTTTGTGACAAAATCCTCTGAAGTATAAAAATGCATGACTTCAAACAGCACTTAATTTGGTGGTAACATGATAAGCTAAATCCAAGAAATGTGTATGGAAGCAAGTCTTCACCCAAATGGCATTATTCTGATCTTGCAATGCTAAAATCCTAAATCTTTGGCAGAGTTAATCCATGAACAGCTGCTGTTGTTCTGATGCCAAACTGTTTACTTGCAAGTTTAACATTATCCCCTTTCATCTTTGGAGCATTACCATCATTCAAACATCTAATGTTTAAAGTATAATAGAGTAATTATAGCTATGATTATCTAAGCATAAAAAGCTCATAGAAACTTTGCTTTTTATTAGAGCAGTTTTTTGTATACACAAACCTTTCATGAGGTCTGCAAAGAGTGAGAAATCTGGCTGCATATGTAATATTCACCAAAGTATCAGGTATTGATCATTCACAGGTTATTGAAGAACCGCATAGCAATAAGAGCAGGACTATCTTCATACAGTTAAAATCCCTGTGAATATGGAACGTGTGTTTAAATTTAAGTACAGGAGTTGTTCCAAGCCAATAGGTGAGTCATGAAATTAAATACCCAATCACTGACTTTCTGGGCTGAAGCCAAAACAAATCTGCTGTCTCAAAAAACAAATTTATGTTGATTAGTTACAATAAATTGTCATAGTATTGCTGCTGCAGCTACACGCAGTCTGCATATATTATTACACTTTGCCGTCATAAAGTCATCTCATCTTCAAATCTCCAAAACTTGTAAATTAAGGACACACATTAAAAGGGAAAACTAGGCTCTACCAAAAGTCAATTACAGGTTTCTCATCAGCTTAAACGGATCCAGTAGCTCACTTTGGGTGTACACTCTTCATATGTTTTAATTAAAACCATTAGAAGAGGAAGAGCAGCAATGTCAATAGCATACGGGCATTAACTGGCCTCTCTAGATAGGAAGAGTCTTTTGAATACATCAAAACACCCTTTTAAGATACATTCTGTTCCTTCACAAAGAGGTGACCAAAATTGCTCACTTTCACAACAGAATAGAGACAAAGCCAAAAACTTTTTTCATTTCTGTTCCAAGATGCAACAGCAATTGAAGAGATACTATTCAGATGGTGCCATCTTAATTATGATTTAAACATATATAACAATTCTGTTTTGCCATACAATACTGTAGCCTGTGAAGTTAGTATTCTGATTTTAAAACCTGAGTATGTTC